ATTTTCTAATCAATTGTCTATAACTTTGACTTACAAGAGAACCTTACACTAGCGATTTTGTAGCTTAGGGCCTTAGGCTGCAATTCATTGCAGTTCAAATCTTGACTGGGTATAAAATTCGTATCTACTTTAGTTTTGTCGTCATTTGATTGTAACTATGATTTATATCCCTACCTATTATGTGCCTTTTGTTGTCTCTTTTATATTCACTGCAGTGCAAATTTTGCATCTCCAAAATTGATGCGAAATTTACACCACCTTCTACCTCAATTTCTCATATAAAGTTGGTATCACATCATCTTGCACCATAACTTATTCCTAGACAGATTATCCTCGTCCTACCTTTATTTTCTTTCATTTAAAGTGGAGGTTACGTTATTTTACTTTTTATTTTATTTCTTGGAAACAATTATATAAGATAAAATTAAATATGAAACAAAAATAAACCAGAATTTGCACTTATCCCTTTTTACACTTCTATGCATTTGAGTTGGGATCTCCTTCCAACACCCTACCAATTTGATGTGACATCGTACATCTTACTCTGAAATTGGGGCCCACCAATAAAAGTGAGACCTGCCATATATGAGATGTGTGGGGTCAGATGATGTTGATAGGGTGTTGGAAATTTATACTCTGAAATTGGCAGGTGATCCAGACTCCATGCATTTATACTTGTGCAAAAGAAATTTATATTACAACCAAACACAACCTTAAGAAAAGGTTGACTTTTGCTCCAATTAATTAAGGTTTAAGAGATTGCTAACCTTGGTATTAACAGGGAAACAAAGACTCATCTGCGTGACGTTGTGTTTGTATTCTCTATGTTGTATTAACAATTATGGGGTGTTCATATTTTGGATTTTGAGGGGGGGGGGGGAGTTGGTGAATGGGATTTTGATTCCCATTGACCAAGAAACCCATATTATTTTTTCAGATTTATGTGGGGATCAGAGAAACTTTATTTTCATGAGTATCATTTACCCGGGTAAGTGATACCCATTTCTTACGTGGATAAATAACTTTCTCACTAATACTTGAATGGGACAAAAGTACCCCTTTTAATAATAGATTTTTATGACTAAAATGGTCATTGCCTTATTTATATGAAAAATAAAAGAATATGGGTAAATAACTTATCCAAAAGTGAATGAGGTCTTAATGTAAATACGTTTGGGGTAATTTCTATGTACTAGAGTCCGGAAAGGTGTGGAATATCTCAAAAAACTTGACCCATCAGAAACCCACGTTCAAATCTTAAGGGCGTGTTTGGCTGCAAGAGAATTTCTCCCCTCCGCCATGATTGAAACCCCAGGTTTGTGGGAAATTGTTCTTTATGATAGCTTGTAGTCTGGCTGCTTCTGTGTTTGAGCTATTAATATATATGCACGTTTGTTATTTTCTTTGTGTAGATAAATGCTACCTCCTTTAAGCAATGTTTTCAACCTGCCGTCAAACCAACCGGTTGGACCAGCTGATCAGTCATCTGGCCGGGTTTGCCAGTCCATTATTATCCCCCGAATTATTCACTTGCAAAATTACATTAATTAGGTTAACATTCCAATGACCTGGTTGGTTGAATCATTGCAGCCAATTGACCTGGTTAGAGGGCCACGAGTCAGACATTAATTCTTTTTGTTTTTTTTTTCATCTTTATCCATTTCCTTCATTACTAACAATGGTTATTGCTCATTCTCACCATAGGAGGTTTATGTTGTCCAAAATTCTATTTTCTGGTTTTAGAGTGTAATATGATAAGCAGATATATCCAAGGGTTGAATTTGTTCACAAGATGATGATATGCTATTTAATTACCAAAATAATTCTGATATTATTCGATATGTCCTTTTAATTAACACTCATCCATGATTGAGAAATTGCAATTTCATCATGGAGTAAACGCTCGTTTTCTAATGACTAGCTTTAATTTTCTCTTGGAATGTCCATGATTTATTGATTTAGTTCTAACTCTCTAATTAAATATTTCAAAGTGGTCAATATAATTGCAAAGTTACTCCATAATTTTTGCTTTCAGTCAGTAGAGGATGTTTGGTAATAAATTTAGAAGAGGTTCAAGAATTTTGAATATATGGGTGATAGATATATGAGAAGGACAAATTCTATTGAACGTGAGGTGTTAAATCCATGAAAGGACAAACTTTTTTCAAATCTTCTATTCATAGTAAAATCCCGTTTCACCTTTCTTCAGCCTAACCTGAATCAGGTTTGTGCCATAAAGATTTTAAATCAAACCAAGTTGACCCACCCAACTGTGTCTCTGTGTGTAAATTGATGGAGAGAGAGAGGGGGTATCTACCAACCATAACTCCTACCCAATATGACCAAGCTGAACCTAATCTGACCTATTGCCACCTCCCTAACTAGTCCTATATGACCCAATTTCTTAAGCTATATATATGGCCGCCTAGAGGTGACAGACTTGTAGTACATAATATTCCATTTATCCAAGCCATTAACAAAATGCCATTTGAACTTTGAAGTTTGAATTGTTATGTCCATTAATGACCTGAGTTGGATGTCTTCTTCAGCTAGCAGATCACTAACACCTAATTCACTTTTGAGTAAATGCAACCCAGCTAGAGCTTACTGTAGTCTACACTCCTATGTCAACTCAAGAGTGAAGAAATAAGCCAATAATGCTAATAAGGAAGGTGGGACAAAAACCCAGAGTAAATGGATGTATATCATATATGAGCTCCAGCCCAATGTCAAAAAAGAAACCTGAATTGATTCTCAACCCTAATAAAAGAACAATTCCTAAACTCCAAACACCAATCACATGCACTCTTTATTATCAAACATGATCCCTAAAAGTTGGTTTGAATTTGTAGATTAAGACATACCAAAAAACAAAGTAGTAGGCCACATCTAGGCTGTTAATAGTCAAGAAAGAATTACTGTATGACCAATACTATTTGTTTTCTTCCTATTAAATCTGAATATAAATCAAACCATTAAGGTGCCATTTTGTTTCTTCCTGCTGGTTCAAAGCATTTCATTGACCACCATTTCTTATTATAATCTAACAATTAATCAGCAATATCCGGCCAAAAATATCTGGACCCCATGCCTCCTATAAATTATGTCTTTATCCTGCTTGATTATGTACAAAACAGGATAAAAATATCTCTATCCATCTACAGTATAGAATGATCAGACCCATAATTCTAATATTTCTTTGAGACATGAACACATTATATAAAAGATCAATAATTAAACTAAACTACCTGAATGCTGATTGATTCTAAGGACAAAGACAATTTTCCAAGTACTTATATATATACCTTGGATGGGACAAATAAAACCCTTGACCAGAGAAGGCCTTTATAAACCATAAAACATATGGATTGATATTGGGGAGTCAAAAATCTGGTGCAGTCTAATAGTAATTGGGGTTGGGGACTGATGGTCTAAGCAGTGAGATCATGTATAGCATCCGAAACAAATATTATAAATCATCAGATGGGTTGTTTTCCATTCATAGATTTTGAGTGAAGATGAAACTTCTATGGCTTCTTTATTGTTGTTAAATGACTGTTTTATTGATTTGTTGCTCTGAAGGCTCAGATACCTAACTTGCACGCTTGCATTCACATGGGACTTTTGTGGATCTCGAGAAGACTTGATTATGAGAAGAGCAGGAGGAAGCAAAATCTCGGGAATCATGGATAGATCTGTTCTAACTATTAACAGTTCAAAGCACTACTTAAGCAAGGAAACGATATTACTGGGGTTATCGAGTCAGATTGACTGATGGGTACACTATGGTTAGACAAACCTGTGAAGTAGTACATGATCAGTTGCATTTTAATTTGTAAGATCAGTTAATTAGGGACGACACATCATTCAGTGGGTCCCAAACTCAAAAGTGTTCTGATCATCAAAGCTATCCAATTATTAAATATTGCCAATTGGTTGTTTAACACTTTCTCTTCATCCAAACAGTCAGAAAGAATTCTAAATGATTGGATGGTCATGATCTCCCAATCTGGTCAATATTTGGTCTAAAGAACCTTAGTGGGACCCCTTGATGCTGTGAGTCCTGAGAATGCACGTTTGGTTTGCCACCTGAAAATTATAATTTTAGGCCAAAGTTTTGACTATATTACATCAGCCATTTCTCTATGTTCCCTACAAGTAAAGGAAGCATATTGAAAATCACACATACATTAAGATAGATTATGGTTAAAGATTATGGAAGGTTAATTAGAGAGATTTGTCATTGAAGGGTTACCTGCTTCAATTAATGAAAATCTTCCATAACAAAGAAAATCAAGGATTGGAAAGATGACAAACCCTTTGTATTCTGAACTATAGTGAAATTAGAATAATTATCACAAACCCTTTGGGTGGTAGTTTGTGGGTAGTCCATTATCATTCCTCAACCCATCTCTTTTTTTGGGCTTTATAGTATACCATATGTTCAAGCAATTCAAAATGTTGGTTGCAACTGATCACTATTCATATCCATTCCTGTGCCTCATATTTCCAGTAAGCGAATTTAGAAGAGAGAGAGAGAGAGTCTTGCTGCATTTGTGTGGTATTTGTGGGTAGTCCATTATTACTCAACCCATCCCTTTTTCGGCTTGATAGCATGTTTAAGCAATCCAAAATACAGGCCCATGTTGGTTACAACTCACCATCCATATCCATTCCTGTTCTTACTTCCCATAAGTGAATGTAGAGAGAGAGAGAGAGAGACTCACTCAGACTCTTGTGATGCATTTATGGGCCTGCTTTTAGGAATTTCTAACTCAGATCTGGCTTTTATTAATTGCTCTGTAGGACCAGCTACTCCACTTTCACCTAGAGAGAGAGAGAGAGAAAGAGTCCAACTTGGATGTTGTAGTTATGTGTCAACAGTAGAATAGAAGCCACCTCACATCCTAATCTTCGCAATCAATGCCAGCACTCAGTCTCATGTATTAATATCGATCCCTCATTCATTATCAGGGTAGGGGGTCTGAGAGAGAGTCAGAGAGAGAAAGAGAGAGAGAGAGCAATGGCAGGTCAAAGGAGAGACATCTTATTCATCATATTCATATCTTTGGTTGGTATCACCATTGATGCTGCAAAAGAACAAGAGCTGGATCGAATATGGGCGCTTCCTGGCCAGCCACAGGTAGAATTTTTGCAGTACTCTGGCTATGTCACAGTGGATCCGGTAAGAGGCCGAGCTCTCTTTTACTGGTTGACAGAGGCCACCGCTGAACCTGAAAAGAAGCCTCTTGTGCTTTGGCTCAATGGAGGTCAGTTTGCTCGCTCTTATCCTACAAATTTAGTTCATTATCTCCTGCGTTTTTCACTTCTACCATGACCTGGGTTCTAATCAGAAGACAACTTAACAGAAAACTAGAAGAAAATGTGTCTTAGTAAGCACAGTTTGAATCAGTACATTGCCTTCTACTTATGTTCTCTGCATGCTATAGATATTTAGCTTCATAATTCTAACTTTGTAGATTTCTAAATACTCACTGTAGTGGAAGTTATGTAGTTTTACCTTTTCATAATTAAACTTTTTATTTGATTCCTTCAACTCAGATAAAGGATACAGAAATTTAGTAAGAGTAAACAAGAAATAATTGAAGATAAAGCTTCAAATTCATGGGGAGAGAGAGAGAGAGAGAGAGAGAGAGAGATGCAAAGGAGATGCCATTGATTCTGAAATGATGAGCAGATAAAAACTCTTTTCTGGGTTCTCAATAAATGATCAATCCACGTTTTCTCTTCAACCTTCATGCACGTGTACTATCGATCGCCATGCTTTCTATTCTTCTCTCAAATCTGACAAAAAAACTGCAATGTATTGAATACAAGGACAAAGATCAAGTGATCAACACCAGAGAACAGACAAGGCAAACAATACTCTACCCACTGTCCACGTTAGCCTGTCTTGTCCATATGTACTAATATGCGCCGAATACACAATCATCCAAAGAATATCTCGACTGGGTTTGCACTAAAATTCTGCATCTCTTCACAGATCCAGTTGGAACTCGTGATCTCTCTCTGTCTGTTTTCCACAAGTAAGAATTATTCTCTGCTAGAACACTCAAGAGCCCTGCTGAGTTCCCTTCTTTTTTCTTAAACGTTAGACAGAAGAAAACACAAACTCCACGATAAACTCTTAGCTCTTGCACCTTTACAAATGATTCTTCTGAACTTTCCGATTTGTCTTAACAAAAGATTCATCTCCTTCTTTTCCTCTCTCTATTTTGACCAAGAATGGAAGGAATAAAGGCAGCAGGGAAGCTCATACAACACCTCCAGACCTCCTTGTATCCTCCTTGATCCACGCAGATTGCTCCAAAGGGATGACGTCGGGATTCTTCTTTCTCACACCCAGATATGGAAATAGAGTAGTCTTAAATCGTCAATTATATATCTATCAAAGCATTTATTATTATATTTATTTGATTAAAATATTGGAAAATTGAGAAAATCAATAGCTCTCGTGTCAAGGCGGGGAAATGGGTATTAATTATATTCCAATCTGACGACATAAAAGTGGTCCATGGGCCATGGAGTGGAGACCGGATCTGCTCCTCACACCTAGCGCCTCACACGCACATCCTACTATGTATATTGGGAACATCTCACGGTCTAACTGTGAGGCGCCCATTTGTGAGGAGGACGGGTACCTTCATTGAATTTTGAATTCAAAATCCAAATAGATTTATGTGTGGTAATTGTCCGATTGACGTCTCTTTGTAATATTTTCAAAAAATATTTCATTTTTATTTTGAGATATTTTATTTTTTGTCTCACGTGGCCATGCAGAGTCAGAGAGGACCACGTCTATGCATTTAAGACAAAAATTACTCTAAAGACTTGTTTGGGGTTTGGAGGATGAAGTACGGTAATGAAAGGAACCAAGAGAAGTGTAGTCGCTTTAATGTAAATAGCGAAAGAAACAGTGTCCTTTATTGTCCAAAAGAAATCCCAGCCCACCTGACCCACAAAAGCGATTTGACATTCTATTACTCTTCTCTTCCGTCGCTTTTACGTGTGTGTCTCTTTCTGGAGGCTTTACGTGCACAAGTACCAAAAATACCCTCCATGCTGAAAAGGTTTCAAAGCCACTGAAAAAGTAAAAGCCCATGTTTTTTACTTTTTAGCTTTTACCCAAACAACCAAACATGCCTCCACGCTTCTCTTTCTGTTTTTCGTCTAGGTTGGCTAGCAAAACCAGGTCTGAATCCTGATGATTTGAATATAGTCATGTGGAAAGCCCTAGGTCTTAATGCAATGGACATGAGAAACTTCCTAATCCCTTCAGGAATGTTAAAATAAGAAATTAAGAATGGATGATTTAGGATAAGTTCTTGGATCTTGGGCTTAAATCTTAACAAATTGCTTGTTTCTTCTGCAAATTATTTTATTGGATTTCATGTTTGGCATTGTTTGTATCTTGGATCAATTGACTTTAGAACATTGGGATTCTAAAGAATCTTAGTTTTTGATTATATAAAACTTGAAATGAATTATATCCTTTGAGCAATTGAGAAGCATAGTGAAAACATAGGCTTTTCAATATCTATATAATAAGTAAATAAATACTCACCATGTTATATGGATGTAACAACTGTAAATAAATATTCACACAGTTTAACCAATATTGTCAGAGTTACATGCAATACACAAGTAATATGAATTTTCAGAAATATATTGAATAAAAAATAAGGAAAATACATATTAATTTAATGCATTATACATATAATAATAATAATAATAATAATAATAATAATAATAATAATTGTATATTAGTTCTGTTTATGTACATAGAGAACCATATAAATTAAATGCATTACACATAAAACTTAAATTATTAGTGCAATTTTTGAGAGAAAACGAGATTAGACAGGTAACTGAATTTAACATTTCTATTGAATTCCCCACTGAATTTTAGTTTTGGTTTTCTAAATTGAGTTTAACCAAGCTAACCAATATGTTTGTTATACATTGAATTTCTGAATACACTTCAAACATATGATGTTTGAGCTATATAGGCTTACCATATAGAATTCTTTTGTGAAGATTGTTCTTATAATGTAGCTAGTTGGATTCTTGATATGTGGTTTGATTTTGAAATATGTTCATTGTGACATTGGCTAGCTCAGTAGAATCCAAGCAATTTGTTCTTAAGGCTCAGTTTAGGAAGAGTACAAATGCAAATATGTACAGTACAAAAACTTTGCATTTATATTTGTATTTGTACTCTTTCCAAACTAAACCTAAAGAGATTCTTTGTATGGTAGCTTTTAGAATCCCTCATCTAAAATTTCTAAACTATAAAAGCTCCAAGTGCTTGTGGGTGGATACTGGGTAATACATGTGGACTGTAGATTTCTTGATTTTTTTCTTTACTTTAACTTTTCTCTGATCTTTTGCTCACCTTATCTTGACTTTAATTTGGTGAATGCAGGTCCTGGTTGTTCATCAATTGCATATGGTGCATCTGAGGAAATCGGCCCATTTAGGATCAACAAAGATGGATCGTCTCTTTATCTGAACGAGTACTCTTGGAATAAAGGTACACCAATTACATATATTAACTTATCAAGCTAGGAAAGAAAAAGCTTGTGCTTAACTTCTTTTTTTCTTTCCTTTATGTTTTTGTCTGTGTGTGTAATTTCAGTTCACTTGTTATCATAAATGCATTCACTTCCCAAGTTCCCAGGAATATTCTTAAAGAAATAAAATGTGAACCCACATAGAATTGTCAAAATAAACACACATTAAAAAAATGCACAGATAAATTTACTTTAATCAACTTGATAATTTGTCATTTCGGATGATATATATCCAAGCAACAACTAACAAGTTGGTTTAAGGCCCGGCTACGCTCTGAATCATGGTCTGACCCGATACAATTTCTGAAGGGGTGTATACGTATCGATGCTTTGAACCTTGTTTGTGGCTGCTACCTTATTAAAGGATGGCTTTTACCTCAATATATTCGTGGGCTGGGTGCCTATGTAGTTTTTCTGTTGCATTTTAATTCTCTGAATTTCGGAAGAGTTGCACAATTTTGTTTTTCTTTTGTTTGTGGTTCAGAGGCAAATATTCTCTTTCTTGAATCACCTGTTGGTGTGGGCTTCTCATATACCAATACAAGCTCAGATCTTAAACATTCCGGAGACAGACGCACTGGTAAAATGTTTTACTATATATATATATATATGAATTTGTTTGTTATAATTATCATTGTTATCATGAAATAATGCTCAAAATTGGCAATTTGAAATGCAGCTCGGGAAGCTTTTGTGTTCATGGTAAGATGGATGGAAAGATTTCCTCAGTACAAGTATAGAGATTTCTATATTGCTGGGGAGAGCTATGCAGGTATATCAATGTTTCCTCAACTATTTATCTTGTTTTAACTATCTTAATCCATTGTTACTACAACTAGTTGATAGTTGAAATCACATATTTTGGGTTGGCAAGAAGTAAACTTGGGTGAATTGGGTCCTCCTCAGATCATACCAACTTAAACCAGCTGGCCGGATTGAGCCAGATCAACCCAAATTAATTAATGCCAAATTCACGACCCATGTTCAATTTCAATAACACAGGTCTGATTCTTATTGTGTATTTGTAGGACATTATGTCCCTCAGTTGGCAAAGAAAATATACGACTACAACAAAAATTTATCCAAGCCCTTCATCAACCTTAAGGGATTTATTGTAAGTTAAATTTCTCCTAACATTTTAAACATACCGTTAAACCTAACTAGTACTATTAATTTTCATTGAAAACTGTGTCTTCACTTTTAACTCACTTAGCCAAGTAGTCAGCTCACTTGGGCTTACATTCCCACTACATGCAGATTCAACTTAATTCATGATCTAGTTATGAAATGACCAAGTCTAACTTGGGCATTGAAGTACTGAGGTTTGGTTGGTGGGAATAACCGAATAGGGGTTTGGAATTGGAATCGGAATGGGATATTTTGATTCCAATTATTTGGTTGGGCGGAATCAAAATCCCATTTTCATTCCTGCTGGAATGGCATTCAAAGGGATTGACCATTCTCTGCCCCTCCCTTTGAAATGAAATCTCATTTCTATTGATTTTAATTCCATTCCCATTCCTGTAAACCAAACAGATTATGAGAATAAACCATTTTGATTTTGACTGTGAAAGTACCAAATGGAACGACCATAAGTTTCTGCTCCGAATTTCAAATACAAGTAGAGATATCTAAGCTATTGGGATTAAGAATTTTAAATGGATATATACAGGTTGGGAATGGCGTAACAGATAGCTACTACGACAGCATTGGAACGGTGGCATACTGGTGGAGCCACTCAATGATATCGGACGAAAGCTATCATTCTATTCTATCTAAATGCAACTTTACAGCAACAAAGTACTCCTCGAAGTGCGGAAAGGCCATTGATTATGCAATGAATCATGAGTTTGGTGATATAGATCAGTACAGCATCTACACACCCATTTGTAAAGCAGCTAATAAGAATACCACAAGACCAATCAGGCTCAAGAACAGCCTCCTACATCGGCGTGTGTATGGATATGATCCTTGTACAGAGAACTACGCAGAGAAATACTATAACAGGCCTGATGTACAGAAGGCCATGCAAGCCAACACTACTGGCATTCCCTATAAGTGGACTGCTTGCAGGTCTATTTCTTAAGCGTTCTTTTAACTGTTCTTTTTCTCCATAGAAATGAATAGAAGTAGAATGGTCTAATGGTCCTCTCTCTCTCTCTCTCTAATTTCCCCCTTTTGGGTGTGGATATAAACAGTGATTTGTTATTTAAGAAGTGGAAGGATTCTCAGTTTTCCATGCTACCCACTTACAAAGAGCTGATTGAAGGTGGCCTCAGGATATGGGTTTTCAGGTAAACCACTGAACAACCTCGATCTAATATTTTATTTCAACATTAACTCCATGATGAATGGATGACAGACTGGCAGGACCCCATTTGATCACTACTCCCTAAGAAGCCCCTCTCCCCCAATCAGATCAATTGGTCAATTGTCCAGAAAACAAACAGACTCATAGATTTGGGCAAATAAATATAAGATATGACCCCTCTCTCCCTCTCTCTCTCTCTAGATGGACAGGTTAAATGCATGGAGGGGTATTAACGTGCACCAACTCTTAGACATTCCCAGGCGTATCAGTCTTTCTATTTACGCATATTAGAGTGGTAGAGACAACGTAGGATTGATGTACATTGTCAATCTCTTTACTGTCCATCTTTTCAGTCTCGAAGTCATAGTCAATATCTATTTCAGACTACTTACCCTGATGGCAACTTGGCAAGTAATTCCAAATTAATATTGAAAGCTTTGATTGGACGTCTATCATAAAAGAAAAACAGACCTTCAGTACTTCTCTCCATTTTTATATGACTATACTGACACAAGAGATCTAATTGCAGAGCAAATCAACAAACTATTTTCAAATTTATGGTCTTCATGATAATCACTTTAGTAGTCATGTATCCATTCATTGTCGCTAGATAAGTAATAATGCAGCTTTCTACTGTTTTTGTAGGTGGAAATTATAATCAACTTAACATCTTGTGTCTGAACAACTAATGTAGGGCTAGGCTTTGAAACCTGCTGGGTCATGTTTTTCTTTTGGTTTTAGCTGGATCATGGATTCATGTGGATTTGTACTTTTGAGTCAAAGGGCCCAAAAAAGGAACCTTGAAAATCCTCGTGACTGGCGGAGTTAAACTCTTAGCGTCACCAGAATTGACTCAAAATTTAGGATTCTTTTGATATTGAAATTAATATATAATTCTAGATTCCTAATTATTAGGTAAATTTCCAAGTAAATTAGTCTAGTTGTTTCATAGAAAAGAACACAAGAGTTGGGGGTTCTAAGGCACTTTATATAAGAGGAAATATTAAGTTTTATGTGCAGAGTTTTGAATTGGAGGCATCATTATCATCAAAGTCATGTCTCAACTATATGGGGTCAACCATAAGAATCCTGTTTTGCTATGCTATTCTTTTCTATTAAGAGCCATTCATATTTAAATTATAGGCACTTAAATAATTTCTTATTATTTTCACTTAAATCCTTTTTGGTCTGCCCCTAGCTCTTCTATCCCCCTTCAACTTGCAATAGACCATCTACAAGTGATGTAAATGGTCTTATCTGACTGAACCATCTCAATCTACTTTCTTTTATTTTATTACCTATTAGACCTACAGCTAGGTGTTTTCCTATAACATTGTCATTAATCCTGTCATTCTAGTTTTACCATTTATCCATCTAAGCATTTGTATTTTTGTCATGAATATAATTCAAAATTTATTTCTCATCATCTTATATACACTTACCCCCCCCCCCCCGCCAAAAAAAAAAAAAAATCTTGTATGCAATGTCTTAAAATACCCAAACTCTTCTATTCTAAAAACCAATTAAACCAATCTACCTAAAAGAGAAGGCTTAAAGTTTATGGTGATCATTGTCGGTGGTTTGGTGCAGCGGTGATACAGATTCAGTAGTTCCAGTTACTGCCACTAAGTTCTCCCTGAACCATCTGAACCTCACTGTAAAGACCCGGTGGTATCCATGGTACTCAGGTGGCCAGGTGCACAGCTTCTACCAATCTCAGTGGCAAGTTTATGTTAATGATGAGAACCAAACTGATATCACTTTTATTTACTCATTCATTTTTCTTTTGTACCGTGTATGTTAACCAGGTAGGAGGATGGACCGAGGTCTATCAAGGACTGACCTTTGCAACAGTTCGAGGGGCTGGCCATGAGGTTCCACTGTTTCAGCCTGATCGGGCATTCACACTCTTCCGTTCATTCCTAGCCGGCAAAAAATTACCAAAATCTTAGGTCCTCGTCAATCAAAGCGAATGGGGACTAATAAATAATTCATAGGCTGATTCGTTACCTTGGAGGCGGTTGAATTGGTATTGAGCCGCTTTCGAATATTCAGTTCAGGACGCCCATAAAATTCATGGGCGGGCATTAGAGTCTGATTTATCATTCATTTAAGTTATTTTCAGTATCAAATGTTGGGGAAAAAAAAAACAAATTTTCAATCCTATAGAAAGTCTAATCAATTCAGCCAAAAATAGATTACACAGTACACTATTTAATTATGAAATAGATGCTCATATATATTTGAAGATCACTTTAACAGAGCAATACCAAAATCTCTGGCTTTTGTTTCTGGAATGGGAATGTGCTGTATAATCATGACTGAAACAAGGGTGTCTAATTTTCATGAAATTTCTTGGGCTGGTATGTTGTTCATGTCCCATGAAATAGGGTAATATCCAAAACACCCAATCACGAAATCACCGGCAGTTCATAAATCAGTTCTTAGTTGTCACTTCAACCTCTGAGTTTTGGAACCCAAAGGAAATTCCTTTAGGTAAGGATGAGCAATTAGGTTTGGCTACATAAATCATATTCATGAATGTTTATTGTACATCTGCCCCTTTGGATTTCTTAGGGTCAACGACTCAAGGGTCATATCCTATAAATTATGGTCCTTAAAACCCTTGTTCACTATTTCGACTTTACATTAAACCACTCTTGCAGCTGGTTGATTCACAAGTCACAATCAATATTCAATGTACATGGCCATTGTGTTTCAGTCAAATTTCCTCGTCATTTAATGATCAATTCATCTCTAATTTTATCCTTCATGATATTTTACACGTGCAACCCAAGAATTTCGATCTATTAGTCAGAATCAATCTCTTATTTGCAGGTAGTCAGTAGTCTAGTCAATCCTGACTTGGTTTATGGGGGGCGGGGGGCTAAATACAATTGAGAAATCAATAAACCAAATCTGAGGGGTACTGAACTCTAAAAAGGCCTTAAGATATTATAGCATGCTAAGTTGGTAAATGGGTGGATTGTGGATAGAAACCAGTCCCCAATTGCTAGATGGCCATTAGCACTCTCCATGTATATTCAAATCAAGGTGGGTCCTTTAGGAACTATATTGGCTTTAATTATGACTGATGTGGTATACTAATGCAAATGTTGGCCTAAATTCGTTATAGCTCGTACCTCAATTAGATGGTCCAACCCCACGATTAGCTTGGAAGGTATTGGGGCCGTAGCAACTGAGGAGATACAAGATTAAAATTACCTTGATAGGATCAAGAACTTGAGTTGTGAACGAATCATGCAAAACCAGTATCGCCTCAGTTCTTTTAGGGACACTTGATTAGGCAAGATTGAAATAGATAAGATTCTAACAGCATATTCACAATGCAAATGACCATTCTGGTTCAGCTGGTATACAAAATTGAAGATTGTATCAATCGACAGCATCAGGGAATACCATCTTCACTTTAGCCCTTCGAGGCCTTGTGGCACACCTAAGCTTTGTGCAAGGTTATTCATCCTTTCCTTCATTGCCTGAGAAATCCAACACCAAAATTTAAGCTCACTGAAGGGAAAAAAGAATTTTGATTCAGCTTTTGAGAATCAGTTATCTCACCTGAACACTCTTCTGGTGGGCATCTTTGTATGCCTCTGTTACTAAAAGAGACAGCTTCTGCAGGAATAAAAAGTTCTGTCAGTAAGTCTCTAGTTATATTTTTATCTGGCAGTGCAATCTGAAGCATAAAGTGCAATTTTAAGACTAGGGAATATAAATAGTAGGTCTGCAATTTCTTAGGAGCATTTTTGCACTGACATAGTTAGCACACAACAAACTGCAAAACTTCATAAAATGTTTGTGAATACAGGTAGCCAAAGTGGGTCATGAGTTGAGACAGTTCACAACGTATAATAAAGGGCCAGAAAGTACAATAGAAACGATAGAAATCCCCAAAAGACACCTCCAGCAAACCTGTCGACAATCAATTTAATCCCTTCTAAGAATCCATGTGAACAAGGTATTTGACATAGAAGCCAAAGATTTAATGAAATAATCATGTCTCTAGAGTCCTTTTGACTCATCTTTTATCAACTCAAACACTCAGTGATGTTATGAATACTCCACTCCTTTTAACTAACATTTACTTGTATAAAAAGAATACCATAATTATGTCTTTGGAGGTGGCTAACTTTCCCACCTTTTGAAAAAGTTATCCACACCTATAGGATCAACACAAGTGGCCGGAATCTCACTATCAATGGTTTTGAAGATCAAGACAATCTCATATTGACTTGGATTCTCAAACAACCATCAAATTTAAATTTGATGACATCCAGTGGAACAGGGGTAGAAGTAGAACATGCTAGATTTCCATTTCATCCCATCTATGTCCTTACCATCCACTAAAAGATGAGCTTGAATATGTTTTTTAACTACCCGAACCCAAAGTTCTTGTTGGGCTTTGCTTGTCCTTCTAGAACCAACTTGCAATAAATCATTAATTGGTTATTCACTGGCTTTATTTTACTTGTTTTAGGTACACCAACTTCTTAGTTTATACACTCATTTCATAGATGTATTGTTCCACATTTTGCTTTGTAATGAATGGCAGGAAGCATAGGTATGTGGTTAACCTATTGAATAAATATGAAAATCACTTGTTTTGTACTTTAACATTTATTAATTGATTTCTCCTATCCAGTTCAAGAGTTCAAGATAAGATTAGAAAGATGGATCGTATAACAGAAGAAATACTCAGAAACATAGGGAACTTCATTGTAAAAAACAATCAGCAACAGGGCTAAAAGTTATGACATGTAAACATTAAAACATGAAGACAAGTGCTAAAATCAGAATCCTGAACATTACATATAAACGTACAGAGAAGTCAACAGGTGGAGATATTGTACCAGCTCTATGATGTCCCTACTGGGTAAACAGTGTAGGAATAGTTGAATCCATATTATTAAATCCAGCACAACAGATCTAGGAGCCTCAAATTTAGATTAATCATATGATTCATAAAATACAAAATGGCTACCCAGAGAGTGCAATCATGCCGATAGGATAACCTGACTGGATACATATTTGGACTAGGAGATCAAAGAGTGAAGCTTTCAGTAGTGGTCCAGAACAATGAGTTGTATGGTCCTTGAATATACTGAAAGGGTCATTACCCAATGACTGTCCCAGCTATTCAGGGTCTTGGGAGGGGTAGACTGTATATGGACCTAAACTTTGGCTTTTTTTTTTCCACAAAGTGGCTGTTCTCAGACTTGAACCCACATTCACATGCTTGTCAGACAGAGATTTTACCATTGCATAAAGTAGTGGCCCCTCTTGCACATAATAAAACTAAGACTTTTTTTGATTGTTCATACTACAACTAAAATTATTAACCTCAAACCAGAAGAATGTTTCCTTTGTCACTTTTAGATAATAGCTATAGCCTAAAGCATATTTATAATAGGTTCCTACTGTTTTACATGCCCAGGGGAAAAATATATTTTACTTAATTTCCACTAAAGTGAATACTAGAACAAGATCACTTACTTCTGTTCCTAATTCCATTGCAGCCTCAGTGATCTCAGTACGTACTGGTTGCTGGTTTCCAGATAGTGTTGCCTGGAGAAGATTTAAATGAGAAATGAAAGTAAAGTACTTTGAATCAATAAGACAACTTGACATGAAAGTAGAACAACACAATCATAAATTACAGATTACCACCCTTTATTTTGGAGGTAGTGACACTTAGCCCCCTGAACTTTCATTTGTGACAAAGACCCCCTTTGAACTATCAGATTCCGACACTTTTCCCCCTCCGCTAACATTCTGTCAGTAAACTTCAAAAAATAATCTCAGGTGACTATAATGTGCTTGTTAAACATTTGTAAATTCCCAAACTACCCATTCTTGTTGGACTATTTTGCCCTTTGTACAATTTCTAAATCCAAGTAAGCTTATCTATTACTTCATTCTTCATCTCCATGTCTAATTATTAAGATTGCTATTGAGTGTCAGTGTGTCACACGCTGGAAATAGGAGGTTCTCTGGTAACAAGTGGCAATGGTGGTGGTAAATGGGGAGTTGATGGCAGTGGAGCATCCTTGCTGGTTTCTCTTTTGGTAATATGAACAGAGTTCCGCTATATTCTTTTCTGAAAGTTAAGTATTGTGTCCAGATTAAAACTTTAGAACCTTGTGTTTAATCAATTCTGATTGTCTAAAAGATATTAAATTGAAGATTAAAAGTCTATACTCTATAGTGGGTTGGGCACCAAACAAAACCTTGTGATTCATCCAACAACTACTTTATAGTATACCCTCAGATTAATTGTAGCCAATTAGGAATTTTGATCCGTTAATCCCTTCTTTTATGTTTGCAACTTTCAATTCAAAGGTGGTGTCATGACAAACATCTATGATGACAATGAAAGAAATCTTCGTGAACTCATGTGAGAGAGTGAGGTGGTTAGAGAAGTGTCTTGTGGGTTGGTTCGTGAACTCTGATCCGGATGAGGTAGAGGTTCTAAGATGGGTCAGACTGGAATGGAGTTAAAAGGAAGCTGTTCAGGTGAGAAAATTGAACGCAGGCTTTTTTCTATTCATCTTCTGTAGCAAGGAAAAGGCGGATGAAATCCTGGAGAGTGGAACTACTAAGCTTAGGACACCAGACCTTTGGCTGGGTAGATGGAATCCTCTTGTGGGGGCAATTCGAGAAGTAGGAAGCAGGAGCCTTGTCTGGATTAATATCTTTGGAATTCCTCTTCATGCTTGGAATATTAATACATTTTGTGCCCTTGGGAATGCCTGTGGTTGTTCCAGAAGTGTTGATGCCCGGAATGTATAAGTTGAAGAATCTGGTTGCAGCAAGAATCCCGGTTAAAGTTGAGAACCTTCACTTGATTCCCTAAGCCTAATGTTAAACTTTGCTGGGGAGTGGTACGATTTGAGGTTAGTGATAGAGGGAATCAACGATCTTTCCTGATCAAACTCAGGAATCAGTCTGTCTCACAGAGAAACTAGGGGAGTTGGTTGAGCAGGGGACTAGAAGTATGGAGGAAGAAGACGATAGAATCCAAAGGGTCGGGAAGACAGATAATCTGGATGGGGCGAAAGGAGAAAATCTGGAAAAGGGGGGTGAATTTGTTATTTTCCAGGAAGGAGTTGAGAAATATACAGTGAAGGGACACTTGGAGGGACACGCAGAGGGAGCATTCCTGATAAAGCTAGTTGTTCTTCCTTGAGACCAAATGTGGCTAAGTTCAAGAGTGGGTCCTACAAGTTTAGGAGATTGGTATGTAACTTTAACAAGGGTGGGCCCTGCATCATGGGTAAAGGCAAGGTTGGATTTCGGTTAGGGAGAATCGAGGGAAGACCTAGTGAAAGGCCTGGGGCATCTTTCAGAACCCATCAGAAGAAGGTTTCAGCAGCTATCTCAGCCGAGGGGGATGTTCCTTGCACCCGATTTACTAGGCATGGTTTAGGGACTGGAGGGACTTCTTTGAGTTCGAGCGAGGCACTTCGAGTGTCACAGGGCAAGGTGTTCCTGCCTCTTGATGAAGCTAGAGGTAAGCAAGATCCGCTATCTTCATCTCCATGTTTGGGTCTGAGTCAGGAGATTGGGGGGGTACTGTTGCTTGTCACCAAAAGGGTGGCTCGAAGAGGGAGGCGGTAGTGAAGGAAGCAAGGGTAAGGTGGAGAAGGCAGAAGAAGGGTCGACTAGTAAGGTTTTTGGGCTGGTATTACTTGTTTTTATTTACATAGCATAGTTAGGGAGTTATTGGGCCTTAGGCCCATTAGTTTATATTTTAAGTTAAGAGTGCTTATTCAGTTCTTACAAGTAGCCAACTTACTAAGGGCATACTTGTCTTTGTACTCTTTTTTATTTGTGAGCATATAATCAATCTAATGAAAGGGGCGGCCATACCTAATTTTGGTTTTTCCCATTCTCTTCTATCTCTCTTCTCTTTCTTTCTATATAGAAACCTTCTCTTCTCTTTCCTTTCTTCTTTCTTTTACAGTTTTCATATCAAAATAGGTCATCCAAACTTTTCTACTTAGTATGAGAGCAAGTTTAGAGATTTTTTGAGTTGCTCCATCATGCAACCCTAGATTGGCCAACTGCATGATGAGGTAAAGGGCGGATCAAAGACTTCAGGTAAGCCCAATTTTTTGATTTTTTGGTGGATTTGCAACTCCCTATAACTGGTCTAGGGTTTAACACCAAAATCAGGAAGAACTGGAGAAAGGGGAGATTCTTGATTTAGTAGGACTCTTCATTTTTGACGTAGGAAGAGGCACTCTAGTTTTCTAGGGTTCCTTGAGGTTTAATGAAGGGGGTGATTCAAGTCCCAGCCTTTTTGGAGGCCTTTGGAGGGAGGGACAACCTCCTCTCTCTTCTCCCGTTCCCACAGAAAAGGAAATCTTTGGAGAGAGGAGCTTCTAAGGTACCAGGAAGGTGTTTGAGGTTTCTAAAGGAGATAAATACCTTTCCTTTCATCTCAATTTGATTTCCTAATTTATTCTGGGAGTTATGGAGGGCTATGGAGTTGAAAACAAATTTGCAAGTGAAATGGGACCAGGGAGAGGAGGTAATAGAGACCTCTTTAGGGCCAGGACCATCACTGTAGTTAAGTTGGATGGTACAAACTACTTAGAATGGTTACAATCTACAAAGATAGCCATTGGTGCTCGTGGGAAATTGGGGTATGTCACTGGTGAAGAAAAGAAACCTGAAACTAACTACTCCCGGTGGGTATAAGAGAACAACATGGTGATGACTTGGTTGTGCAATTCCATGTTGCCCCATATAAGTAAGAACTTTTTATGGGTTAACACAACTAAGGAGATTTGGGATGTAGTAGCAGAAACCTATTTACAGAATGGGAATGTTGCTAGAGCCTACCAGTTGAGAAACCAGGTGATTGCTACTAGGCAGGGAGATAAGTCTGTTGCTATTTATTTTTCAGCCCTCAAAACCTTATGGTAGGAGATAGATCATTTGGAGACTGTGGTTTGGGAAAGTAGCAAAGATGTAGCAACTTATCAGAAGCTGGTAGAGAAGAATAAGGTTTTTGAGTTTCTACAAGGGTGGAAATGAACCGAGGAAGGAGGACAAGAAGGATCTGATCTGTGACTACTGTAAGAAACTTAAACATACTAGAAATACCTGCTGGAAGCCTTACCCACACCTTGTACCGAGCCGGCTCAAAAACAATAAGGGAAATGTGAATATGGCAATGATTGGTGATTTATCAAGACCACCTACTAACTTCTCTAGAGTTTGTAGCAGCAACTGCAGTAAGGGCTGAATTGGAGAGATATGGGCAGTTTTTTAATCAAAGGAATACAACCAATTCCAACTCATTATCAAGTGGACAACAAGGTGCAAGTGGATTAGGAGGTAGCCATTCGACTTCGTTTGCACATATAAGTAATTCACATGTCACTACAAATTATGTATCCACTAAAGGTAAGGGGGGACCTCCCTAGATTATAAACTCAGGAGTCTCAGAACATATGACCAACATTTCCACCATTTTCTCATACCACCTTTGCTTTGGCAGAGAGAGTTTCCATAGATGATGGATCACATGTTCCCATTGTTGGGATAGGGTCTATCAAGATAACTGATACCATTACCCTACCTTTTATCCTTCATGTTCCTAGACTGAGTACTAATCTTTTATCTGTTAGTAGCTTGACAAAGAATTTGAACTGTTCAGTGATTTTTCTCCTGGTCATTGTGTTTTGTAGGATCTGGAATCAAAGAGGACGATTGGGAGTGGTCGTGAGGTGAATGGAATCTATCTTCTTGATGTGCTTCCCAATCATCAGAGTCATCATGTCAGTAGGAACTTTTAGTTAGAGTCAATGGGTAAGATTAGGCTTTGGCATAATCGGTTAGGGCATTTGTCTTTTGCTTCTTTGTGTTTTTTGTTTCTAACAATGTTTGAGTCTGTCAGTTTGTCCAACTTGAAGTGTGAGGGTTGTCAACTTGGAAAGCATTGTAGGCATTCCTTTAAAGCAAGTAATAAAAGATGTTTTTCTATTTTTTATATTGTTCATATTGAGGTGTGAGGGCCATACCATGTTTCCTCTATGGGTGGTTATCGGTATTTTCTTTTGTTTGTGGGTGATTATTCTTGATACTCTTGGATATATTTGATGAAATCAGATGGTGCTGACATAGTTTGGTGTAAGAGTGGAAGTGTTTAGATCAGACAATGCCAGAGAATACTTTGTCTATTGGAGCATGGAGTAGTCCATTAGAGTAGTTGTACATATACTCCACAATAGACATATTGTGGAAGTAGCAAGAAGCATGATGTTGAGCTCTACTATTCCAGTTCGCTTTTTGGGTGATGCAGTTCTTACAACAATTTTCTTGATTAATTGGGTGCCTTCTCGTGTTCTTGGATATAGCACTCTGTTCAACCTTCTTTTTCCTGAGGGGGAGATGTTCCATGTTCCTCTAAGGGTGTTTGGATGTGTATGCCTTGTCCATGTTCTTGGCCCTCGCTGCTCAAAGTTGGCCCCTAAGGTGAAAAAGCGTCTTCCTTGGGTATACAAGAAATTAGAAGGGGTATTATTGTTATGATCCAATCTTCAGGAGTTGATATA